CGTTGAACACTCAGAATCCCTATCTACTATGCCACCTTTCTATAATTTGAAATGCCAAACAAGTTAGCCATTTTTTAAAATATTAATTTCATTTAAGTATTTACTCCCAAGTGGATGTTTTTTAAAAAAACTAGTTTCTGAAGTATAAAAATGGGTCTTTTTACAATTTTTTGTGGCATCTCTCAAAACTCCACCCCCTGCCACATTTTCCTTTTTGTCTTTTAAAGTTTTTTTTTTTAAAACAAGTTTTAGTTCATCTTTCTATCCTAGAATATGAGTTGGTCCTCAATCCATTCTCTTTTCCAGAGCCTTCCTAATGACACCCAATCCACATGCCACCTTGATCTTTTTCAGTAAAATTCATGAGAAGTAGTAACTATCTACCATCTATTACGGTGGGCCAGGAATCTTCGATGCGCGACAACATTTATTTCTATTGCATCTCTAGGAAGCTGGCATGAATATGTCTTCCATTTCTGGAGTAACAATTACGTCTGAATTTCAGAGAGCTTCAATCCACAGAGAGTGAGATGACAGAGCTAAGACTCGAAAACACATCTGTTTACTCCAAACAGTTTTTCTTTTCCATATTTCTCTAATTTGTGGATAGAGTAAAAAGCTCCAGTCTTGCGGAGTCTAGGCCCCTAGGCTTCCAAGTTCTAGATTACTTTATAGCAAAGAAAACTTGAGCTTGTTTTTCAAACTGAGCTTTGGGTCCTTTGTCTATGAAACAGGGCTAATAAAGCTTTTCAGGGTTTAGCGAAAATAGAGTAAAACCATTTAAGTTAATATCGAGTCAGGGATGAACTTCTGATTGCCAACTTTCTTCCTTGAGTACAAAAGCCACTTGTCCTTCTGCCATCTGATATAAGCATTGTATCCACACGAAGACAGGTTCCCCCATGACACCTGGTGACCCCTGGTGATATGAAGGATCTTTTCTCCCATTCTTATAAGAAGTTTAGCTCCCTCCTAACATCCTTCAGACAACAACAGCAAGGCTTGCTTTCCTCAGCCAGAGTCACAGGCAGCCTCTAAGCCATAGATAGGGTTTGTGCACTCTTGGGGACATGCAAAGATTTAAAAAAATTCACCTCTTGTTCAAGAACTTTGAAGTATCGGCCTCCCCTTTGCCTCTTTCCCAAAGACATAAAAAGTGTCCCTGCTTCCTTATGTCGTTCTTCCCCAAGGATGCTTAGTAATACATACCTTAATTAGAGCCTTTGTTTCAGTTGCTAATTTCTTCTTCTCAGAGTCTGCACTCTCAGGTGTGTTTGTGCCTAGTAACAGCTCCTTTGTAGATATCTATCTGTGGTGGGTGGAAGAGTAGAGTTGGGCTTACTATTTTTTTCTGTTGTTACTTTAAGTTTTGAGAATAATCTCACCAAAGAACAACTACAGATGGCAAATTTGCATACAAAAAATGTGCTCAACGCTTTATGTCATTAGAGAATTATAAATTAAAACAAAAGTGACTGGAAACCATAAAACTCTTAGAAGCAAACATAAGCAATAAACTTTCAGGCATCAGTGTTAGCAATATTTTTTTAGACCAGTTTCCTCAGGCAAGGGCAACAAAAGCAAAAATAAATAAGTGGGATTCCATCAAACTCAAATCTTTTGCACAGTGAAGGAAGTCATCAACAGAATGAAAAGGCAACCCGTTGAATGGGAGCAGATATTTGCAAATTCTGCATCTGATAAGGAGTTATTATCTAAAATTCAAAAATAACTTATACAATTTAATATTAAAAAAACAACCCGATTAAAGACTCAAAATAACAAGTGTTGGTGAGGGTTGGAGAAAAGGGGACCTTTGTGCATTGTTGGTAGGAATGAAAATTGGTGTAGCCACTATGAAAAACAGTATAGAGTTTCCTCAAAAAAGTAAAAATGGAACTACCACACAGGCCAGCAATTCCACTCATCGGTATTTATCAAAGAAAACAAAAACACTAATTCGAAGAGATATATGCACCCCTATGTTCATTGCAGCACTGTTTACAATAGCCAAGATACGGAAGCAACCTAAGTGCCTATCAACAGAGGATTAGATAAAGAAGATGCGGTACCTATATATGATGGAATATTATTTGGCCACAAAGAAATGAATTCTAGACATTTGCAACAACATAGATAGACCTGGAGAGTATTATGCTAAGTGAAATAAATCAAACAGTAAGACAGATACTGTGCGATTTCATTTATATGAGGAATCTGAAAAATAAAACAAATGAACAAACTAAACTAAACTAAAACTAACTCATAGATACAGGAAACAAACTGGTGATTACCAGTGCGAGAGGGGTTAGAGGGCTGGCGAAATAGGTAAAGGGAATTAAGAGGTAAAAACTTCCAGTTATAAGATAAATAAGTCATGGGGATCACTTCCAGCATAGTCAATAATAGTAATATAGTCAATAATATTGTAATAACTTTGCATGCTGATAAGGTGGTGACTAGACTTACTGTGTGATCATTTTGTAATGTATATGAATATTGAATAAAATTAATTCTTTACACCTAAAGCTGGGATACTGCGTGTCCTAGCAATAAAAGAGTGAGATACCACCATACTTTGATTAGAATGGCTAAAATCCAAAACACTCACAACACCAAATGCTGGAGAGGATGTAGAGCAAGACAAACTCATTTGTTGCTGGTGGGAATGCAAAATGGTATAGACAATTTGGAAGGCAATTTGGCAATTTCTTATAAAGCGAAAATGTGCTTATCATATAACCCAGTAATCATGTTCCTAAGTGTTTACCCAAATGAGTTGAAAACATATCCACACAAAAACCTGAGCATGACTATTTACGCCAGCTTTTTTATAGTTGCCAAAAAAATGGAAGCAATCAAGATGCCCTTCACTAGATGGATGGATAAACCAACTGTGGTGATGTATGCAATGGGATATTATTTAGTGATTAAAAAACAGCTATCAAGCCACACCTTAAGTGTCCGTTACTAAGTGAAAAAGGGTTTGGAAGCTCCTCATGGAAACACCGGGGAGGGAAGTAAGCATTTCCACATACAATGGCAGCCATTTCATTACTTTCACCTTTTACTTGCCTTTATCTGAAACTGTAACTCTGCTTCTCATTGTTTTTCAAGGCAGTGACTTTTTTTTTTTTTTTTTTTAGAATACAGGCCAATTATTTTTTAGAATGTCCCTCAGTGTGAATTTGACTGACATTTCCTTATGATTAGATCTTGGGTTAAACTTTTTTGGCAGAAATACCACAAAAATGATGTGTCCTTCTCAAGGGACACATGATGTCATTTACTCTCAATGTTGGTGATATTAACCTTGTTCATTTGATTAAAATGTCTGCCAGTAGTAAAGCTGATGCTTCCCCTTTTGTTATTGATAAACCATTTGTGGAGAGAATCTTTGAGACCATGAAAATATCCCATTTCCCATCAAACTCTCATGAGGGTGCAGTTATGGAAGATTTTTCAAAGATGCATTTCACAAAAGATACGTATTAGAATATTAATAGCAATGATATTCATGGTAGACTACTGGCAACTACTTAAATATCCATTAATAGTAAAATAGATACATAGATTCTGGTATATTCACACAACAGAATACACTACAGCAATGTGAATGAATAATTAACAATTATACAAAATAGTATGGCTGAATCCCACAAACATAGTATTGCACAGATGAAGCCAGGCACAAAAACAGCATACTATATGATTCCACTTATACAAGGGACCAAAAACAGGTAAAACAAACTGATGGCATCAGGAATCAAAAGACTGGTTACTGCTGTGGGGTGAGTGATAAGATGTAAAGGGGCCCCTCGGGACAAATAAACAGAATTGAACTAGATAATACGTATGGCTTTCTTCAGCTCTCATTCATTCATACAAGAAACATTTGGGGAGCACTGGACTAGGTCTTGGGGATCCCAAGAAGAATGAGAGACAACCCGGCCCACTGAGGCCTCTCACCCCTCTGGCGTGGGTTGTTCTCGGCTTCAATGTGTCGCCCCAAGCCTCTGCTTTGTGCAAAGCACAGCCTATTCACCACCATCCAAAAAGAACAAAACAAAAAGCGATTCACTCCCACCAAGAATTCAGAAACTGCTGTACCGCCTCCCACGAGGTTTTGATACTCTCTCCTCTTCCTTTCTCCTCCGAATTTCTCTCTGCACCTTGGTCTTCCTCATTCTCAGGATCAACACCAATTCTTCCTTTTGCACAGCAGTTCATTTCCTTTGCTCCCCCATCACTCAGATGTGTCCACCTCAAGTGCTATAGCTCTTCCAGACAAATCCAACAGCTACCTTAAGAGGATGCTTGGGATTCCATTTTCTTTACCGTATTGCAAGGCCAGATGCATTCACTCCCCTGACAGACCATATCTAGGGCTTCAGGAGCAAAAGTAATGGTGCCTGATTCTGCTCGGGCCTTCTGGGTGAGCTGGCCTTGAGGGATGGATGTGCCTTTGAGCAGAAACTAAAGCATTATTGTAAGAAAAGCATTTTTCTGGGAGTCTCAGAGCCTGGGTTCTCATCCCAACTCCGTCACCAAGTTGCCATGAAACTCTGAGAAAGCCACTGAATCTTCCTGAGTCATAGTCCAGTGTTTCCTCACTTTAATGCACACAAATCACCTGGGAATCTTCTTCAACTGCAGAGCAGGATTCAGCAGGTCTGAGCCCAAGATTCTGCATCTCTAACCAGCTCCCGGGCATGCAGATGCCACTGGCTGCAGCTCACATGTTAACAAGGGGTTAGGATCCTCATCTGTAAAATGGACATAAAGCTTCCATGGGGAGGTTGTGACTTAATGAGATAATACGTGTGAAAGTGCTTGGAAAGCTTTGGTGTGTCTTAAAAATGTAATGGATTGTTATTGTTGTGGAGATAGGGTGTTTATGTCTTGTCCAAAAAACTGGGAGTGTGACCCCCTGTATCTTCATGGCTTGATGCCTGAAGAGATGGCCACACTCAGCAGACACAGCAGCTCAGCCCATCAGCAATGTCACTCAAATGGCATTCAGTGGAGAGGTCCCTGGAAAAGAAAGAGAGATGGCAAAGCAAGGGTGCTCTGTGGTGGCTGATAGACTTGCACAAGTGCCCAGTGACTTTTAAAGTTGATGGGGTGGGGGAAGAATCTTTGCAGAAACAGGAAGTCCTGCAAAAGAGCAAGGAAACACAGACATGCACACTGTCCAGACTCAGGGAGGGATTCTTGTTTCATATTTTCTTTAAAAGGCTAGAAGTCTATTAACCCCTGGCAGCTCCACATGGAGTTTCAAACACAGCCAGCCAGTAAAGATCGGGGCAGGTACACAAAGGGGAAAATGGTGGGGTAGGACAGGCGAGCTCAGGACCACTTTGGTATTGAGAACTCAGGACGCGGACACTTCACAGCCACCTGAACCAGCATCTGAGAGCATTCTTGCCTCCTGGGCCCTAGGTCTGCACTTTCCACGCTGGCATGTTGCTCTCAGATGCTGCTCATTCTTGAGTAGGCGGCAGAGTGGACCACCAGATAGAAAGAGTTTAAACGACCCGCCTGAGTCGCAATGGGAGTTCCTGACAGAGCTGACTCCCGAGTCTTCAGCTCCATGCTGCCCATCAGAAATGCATGGGCAGGTGACCTGGGTGCCTCTGCTTACGGAGGCTGGGGAGTGACATGGGCTGGATAGTGTATCGAAATTGCCGGCACCTGGTGTGAGGAGTAATAGAAAAAGAACTAATATTTATTCATCACCAACGATGATGATGAATATCATCAGGCTATATGTTAACTAACTTATCCTTACAGCTTCATGCAGATAATATTTCTGTTCATCAAACAACAACTACAAAGCTTCTTCTATGGCGAATCACACAAAAGAAAGTGTCCGATAGACGTTTAATTGTCTCCTCGAAGGCCCCCATTACACGTTAGGCAACCTTAGAGAGTTTAAGCCACTTAACCAAAGTCACACGGCTAAGTGGAGATTAGACCTCAGGTCCCCCGGGCCCGGTGTTCTGCATTCTTTCTATCACATAGCACTGCCTGAGAAGTTGCTGGAAATAGAATAGGCTGGCTGTTAGGTAGAAGACTCATATTTAAGGGTCATTTGGCAAGGTGTTTGGGCAAAGCATTTCTAATATGCATCTGTGATGGCCTTAGAGTCTTTCCGTCTTTAGGTAAAAAAAAAAAAAGTATACTGGATTAGGTGGTATCCCCCAACATTCATGTTCTTTGCGGAATCTCAGACTATGACCTTGTTTAGAAATAAGATT